TTTTAACTGTTGTTCTTCAATATGTGGGTATTACGTTCCCCTCTTGTGTTATCTGGATCGGTGATCTGCTAGGTCACTCCAATCCTTGACTCTGGGAGCCAGCCTTACCTTGCACTGCTGTGAGAACCCCCACTCCTGGGCTGTTCACACACAGCCTCTGGCATGTAACCTGCTCCTTGGATTGTGCAACCGAATGACAGTAGCCAATATCTCCGGTCCCAGACACAACCCTAGGAACTTCCACCTTGCAGTGTCCAGTTATGCCCGCTGGACGCTGCAAGCTTATATGAGTTCGTCAATTTAACAAAGAAATTGATGTGTACCAGGCTTGTTATCCCAAGCAGAATCTCTGACATGCTTCAAACCAAACGCACTGCTTCAGGTAGAATAAACAAACAGATTTATTAACTATAAAGATAGATTTTAAGTGATTATAAGTCAAAGCATAACAAGTCAAATTTAGTCAAATGAAATAAAAGCAAAACGCATTCTAAGCTGATCTTAACACTTTCAGTGCCCTTACAAACGTAGATGTTTCTCACCACAGGCTGGCTGGTTGCCCTTCAGCCAGGCTCTCCCCTTTGATCAGCGCTTCAGTCACTTGGTGGTGATGTCTGTAGATGGAGGCGGAAGAGAGAGCAGGAGCATGGCAAACATCTCTCCCTTTTATCATGTCCTTTCTTCCCCCTTGGCTTTGCCCCCGCCCCAGAGTCAGGTGAGCATTACCTCATTGCGGTCACAAACTGACCAAAGGAAGGGCGGTGACTCACTCGAGAGTCCAACAGATCCTTTTGTTGCTGCCTAAGCCTGCATCCTTTGTTCTTGTGAGGCTGGGCTGGGTTTGTCCCATACATGCCCTGATGAGGTGTTAACTGCCTCTCTGCTCTTGGAGAGTTTTTGCCTGGGCTTATTTTAAGCCATGAAGACACATTTTCAGCCTCATAACTATATACATGAAATTCTAACCTATAACATTACTATACCATTATTGTAACAACAATTACTATAACATCACTATAACAACAATGCTCAGTGCATCATGAGCCTTCTGAAGACACCCAACATGAAAAACTCTGCATTGGATACCACACAATCATTTTACAAGGATGAATATGGGGGTGCTTGGTGTTCCCCTGAATACAGAGCATCACAGTGGCTGCAGACGTGTATTCCCTGGACCACTCTCCATCCCCTCTGTATTGGGGTCTGTATTTTTGATCTTTGGTGCAAAGGAACTGAGGGTGGTCAGGGCGGCGCTGCCCTTATATAGCCAGGGGAGGAGATAGAGCCACAGGGCATGAATGTCCCTTCCTCCCATATACTGCTAGTAAGAGAGCAGTAAGCTCTCTCTCTCCCCGTTTTACACACACACACACACACACACACACACACACACACACCCCAAGCTAATTCTCTAAAGGCTGGAAAGGAAGCCAAAAGATGGACTGATTATTATTTATTTTTTAATACTTGGGTGTAGACCACAAGGTACTGCTAATATAACATAACTAGAGTACATGGTACAACACTACACTGGCTCCAATCATTCCTCTCTAGCACAACCCAGAGAGTTCAGATGAAAACTGCTCCTCTTCCCCAGCAGGGACCCATACCATCTCCCTCTCTCTTCAGAATCAATACAAAGCTACTTGGAGAAAGTGAGATATCCTGGGCTCAACTGTCAGCAATATGCTTACAAGAAGTGGAAGATTGGACAAATGACCAGGGAGGAGTATAAAAATATCGCTCAGGCATGCAAGAGTGAAATCAGGAAGGCCAAATCGCACTTGGAGTTGCAGCTAGCAAGAGATGTTAAGAGTAACAAGAAGGGTTTCTTCAGGTATGTGAGCAACAAGAAGAAAGTCAAGGAAAGTGTGGGCCCCTTACTGAATGAGGGAGGCAACCTAGTGACAGAGGATGTGGAAAAAGCTAATGTACTCAATGCTTTTTTTGCCTCTGTCTTCACAAACAAGGTCAGCTCCCAAACTGCTGCACTGGGCAGCACAGTATGGGGAGGAGGTGACCAGCCCTCCGTGGAGAAAGAAGTGGTTCGGGACTATTTAGAAAAACTGGACGAGCACAAATCCATGGGGCCGGATGCGCTGCATCCGAGGGTGCTAAAGGAGTTGGCGGATGTGATTGCAGAGCCATTGGCCATCATCTTTGAAAACTCATGGCGATCGGGGGAGGTCCCGGATGACTGGAAAAAGGCTAATGTAGTGCCCATCTTTAAAAAAGGGAAGAAGGAGGATCCGGGGAACTACAGGCCAGTCAGCCTCACCTCAGTCCCTGGAAAAATCATGGAGCAGGTCCTCAAGGAATCAATTATGAAACACTTAGAGGAGAGGAAAGTGATCAGGAACAGTCAGCATGGATTCACCAAGGGGAAGTCGTGCCTGACTAACCTAATTGCCTTCTATGAGGAGATAACTGGGTCTGTGGATGAGGGGAAAGCAGTGGATGTGTTATTCCTTGACTTTAGCAAAGCTTTTGATACGGTCTCCCACAGTATTCTTGCCGCCAAGTTAAAGAAGTATGGGCTGGATGAATGGACTGTAAGGTGGATAGAAAGCTGGCTAGATCGTCGGGCTCAACGGGTAGTGATCAATGGCTCCATGTCTAGTTGGCAGCCAGTTTCAAGCGGAGTGCCCCAAGGGTCAGTCCTGGGGCCGGTTTTGTTTAATATCTTTATTAATGATCTGGAGGATGGTGTGGACTGCGCTCTCAGCAAGTTTGCAGATGACACTAAACTGGGAGGCATGGTAGATACGCTGGAGGGTAGGGATCAGATACAGGGACCTAGACAAATTGGAGGATTGGGCCAAAAGAAACCTGATGAGGTTCAACAAGGACAAGTGCAGAGTCCTGCACTTAGGACGGAAGAATCCTATGCACTGCTACAGACTAGGGACCGAATGGCTAGGTAGCAGTTCTGCAGAAAAGGACCTGGGGTCACAGTGGACGAGAAGCTGGATATGAGTCAACAGTGTGCTCTTGTTGCCAAGAAGGCTAATGGCATTTTGGGCTGTATAAGTAGGGGCATTGCCAGCAGATCGAGGGACGTGATCATTCCCCTTTATGCGACATTGGTGAGGCCTCATCTGGAGTACTGTGTCCAGTTTTGGGCCCCACACTACAAGAAGGATGTGGAAATACTGGAAAGAGTCCAGGGGAGGGCAACAAAAATGATTAGGGGTCTGGAGCACATGACTTATGAGGGGAGGCTGAGGGAACTGGGATTGTTTAGTCTCCAGAAGAGAAGAATGAGGGGGGATTTGATAGCTGCTTTCAACTACCCGAGGGGGGGTTCCAAAGAGGATGGAGCTCGGCTGTTCTCAGTGGTGGCAGATGACAGAACAAGGAGCAGTGGTCTCAAGTTGCAGTGGGGGAGGTCTAGGTTGGATATTAGGAAACACTATTTCACTAGGAGGGTGGTGAAGCACTGGAATGCGTTACCTAAGGAGGTGGTGGAATCTCCTTCCTTGGAGGTTTTTAAGGCCCGGCTTGACAAAGCCCTGGCTGGTATGGTTTAGTTGGGAATTGGTCCTGCTTTGAGCAGGGGGTTGGACTAGATGACCTCCTGAGGTCCCTTCCAACCCTGATATTCTATGATTCTATGATTCTGTGATGACCCCAACTTTAGATCTACTCTCCACTGAGGAAACCACTGCCACTACTGAGATTTCAGAGTACCTACAATGCCCACAACCTGGCCATGACAAAGGCTCCAGTAGCAGGGAAAGGCTCTGGCAGAGGATAGGTAGTGGGAAGAGGCTGAGCCTTTCCTCGCTGCCTTGCCTCTGCCAGAGCCTTTCACTGATACGTTTAGCTACACACCACAGAGTGGATGCAGTGTGCTTTTCACTGCGGCATGTAGCTATGTGTACACTACCTACTGCCGAAAGTGGTGTGCAATGTAGTCATAGCCACAGTGACCAGCACAGAAGAGATATTTGCATATTCACAGCATATTTGTTGAAAAAGAAATAACTTTGTACAGTGGCTATGCCAGCCAACCCACAAAACTAGAGCACAAGGGGTCATCAATGGGGAAGATAATGTGATTCTGCTTCAGTAAGCGTACAGTATTCCAGGTAAATTTGCAGACTGTCAGGGGAAGAGAACCTGTAAACTTAGAATCTGTAAGTCATTGAGACACGAATATGGAATCCCACTGAGCCATTTTGAGAGAGAAAGTGCTATGTAAAAACCTAAGATAGATATAATAACTGTAGCTATATTGTGAAAAGTGATATTTAAGAACTCCAACTTCCAAGCTAGTGAATATCTTCTGAAAGATAATGCTCAACAGTTTTCAGTATCATGCCTCAAGTTACTTAAAAGCCATTTTTTAATTATTGAAATAAAAAATCTGAAAAATGTTTTAAATTATGGGGGAAAAAACAACTTTGTTCCTTCTCCAATATAATTAAAACAAAGACCAAACCTGGAAGAAAAAAACTTCACTTTTTGGCTGAGAACAAGCATGAGAAATCTGAGCTCAAGAATAACTTTTTCAGAAAGCTAAAAGCACTTGAAAAGACCAGAAACTGCATTCCTATAAAAGCCTTTGCAGAGGATTCACAGAATGCCGTTAAATTGGTCCAAACATTAAGAGCAGCAGCAAACAAATGTTACTCTTATTTAGAAAAGAAAAAGACTCTGGGCATCACATATAACTGCAGGCGACAGATCCCATGGTCACTGAACATAGTTATCACCCTTCTCCTCGGGGCTTATGATGAAAGAATCTCCTCAACCAATTTTACTAAGTGTTTTGGAGGAAGAGAGGGTGGAATTTTGCCCACGGTGTGTACAGTGAACACTAATGTGCCCTCTGTTTGCTATCACAGTATGTTCTAATAGTTAAAGTAAAATCGTCATATCCTGGACCCAAACCTGGAAGGGGTGAAGGACCCTCCACTCCCACTGTCTTCCAGGATGATGCTATCTGTGAATCCACTTATAACATTTTGTGCTTTCACACTCATTACTGACAGAAGGAAGACCGAGTCCGGGGACATGCAGCCATTGTCACAGCTCGCTGTAAGTGGCTAAGGAAGAAAATTATACAGGCAAGGGAGAGATTGAAACAGGCAAGTATTTCACAGAAATAGTCTTACTTAAACTGGCCAAGTTTGGAAACAATTAGTCAGCAGACAAAGAATGATAAAAAAAGATTGAAAATAGACTGAGATTTCCTATCTGTGATATAGACTTGTAGGGCCAATGGAGCAGTGCAAGAAGTTTTAGACTGGGCTTAACCAGTGTGCAGGATTCCCTCAACAAAGGGCATTGGGTGTGTGTTGAGGCAGGCAATGGGCATGATGGAAAGAGGCTGATGTGTGATGCACTCCACTGATCCTGTACTGGCTGAGTGGTTCCTATCAGGCTTTTTAGCTGGTGCAAGTTGGAACATCCCTGGGGCTGCTTTAACTTGGGTGGAGCCGAAGTGGCCCCCAGACAACCCAGGATTAAGGAAGGTGTAAAGCTGGCTTAGAGCAGGCCTGTCGCAAAGAGGAGGCACTAAGGGGTGCTGCTTTCTCACTTGCTATTTATAGCTGTCTCAGCCAGAGCTCCCAGCACGGAACAGGGTGTTGAGAGAAAATCTCGGCACTTCTGCCATCCTGCCAGCAGTGGCTGCTGGGGGGCTGTGTCCCCTGCAAGGCAGCAGTCTCCACTCAACCTCTGCCACTGCTGTCTGCTGGAGACATCACCAAGGAGAACCAGATGCAGAACAGGGGTCCACCAGGGGCAAAACTGCAGGAGGAGTCTGGGGAGCATGGGGAAGGGAGCCAAAGAAGCTTATGGAGGGGGGCAAAGGGAGGTAGGGCAGAGGTAAGGGAGCAGAAGGAGCTGATGCTCAAGGGGCATAAGGACCTGCAAGCAGTGGGGGAAGAAAGATGATAGGAGTGCAGTGGGCTGAAAGCAGAGTAATGGGGAAGGAAGGGAAAGCCTGAGATCATGGATGAGGGGATGAGAGCTGATAAATTGACTTCAGGTAGGGTTAAAGTCAGAGAGAGCCCAAAGGAGATGGAGGATCTGAAGGGAGAAGGAGAAAAGAGGAAGAGAGAGAGACTAAAGGCTGGGGCCCCGGGTTGGGAGGCGATACCATAGGGAAGAGGAGGTAACCCCTTGTAATTTGGGGAGAGACTCCAGTGAGAGGTGGGAAAGACCCTGAGGATCCCAGAACTGTTGGGAGTGACTCCAGGGAAGAAAGAGAGAAGAGGAGGACCTGCAGGGGAGTGATGGAGGGATTTTAACAAAGGGGGACATGGTAGTGGGGATTACTCGAGGGAAGAGAAGAGGGTTCCCAGGAGAGTTGGGGTAAGAGACTGCAGGAAGTAGGGAAAGAGCCTAGGAGACACAGAAGGGAGGGGAGAGTTCGTACATCCAAAGAGGGATAGAGAGATAGGGACTGCAGAGCAGGAAGACAGTGAGGCTGAGTATTGGAGCTAGTAGAGGGGAAAGAGAAGGGAGGAGGTCTGGGTGGAGGGAGAGATTCAAGTTCAATCCCTTTTTACATAGCCTCAGTCACCTTGTACCTAATCACCTCCCAGGCATTTAAAATCATCCTGTCTGCAAGGTCATCACTAGGTATAGCTGGGGAGGCCCAACTCCCTTTCACACAGTTTCCACAAACCAGCTCCCACCACTCTGTATGGTTCTTTCCTTGAACCCCAGTACTGGCAGAAAGCTGACCTGCTGCACCAACTCTGCAGCTAGCAGCAAATTCTAGTCTGTTCTACTACTGCTGGCTGCCCATTACACTGTGAAGTGAGGGCGGGAAAAGAGATGCCAAGGAGCAGCAGTCCTTTCCTCTCTGCCCATGGCAAGGTCCCCCAGGGTATATGAGGCAGGAGAAGGGAGATATATGCACAAGGGGTGTAGGAGTTAGCTTGATACACAGTCAATGTATCACATGTTAAGTAGATTACAAAATGGCTAACTGATAGATCTCAAAGTAGTTAATGAGGAATCACCATTAGGGTTGTTTCTAGTGTGTCCCTCAGGGATCGTTTTTGGGGCAAATACTATTCAATATCTTTATCAATGATCTGTATGAAAATATAAAATAATTGCTAGTAAAGTGACAGAGACTGGTGAAATGGCAATGATAGGGACAGGTCAGTTCTACAGAGAGACCTGGATTGCTTAGTAAACTGGGTACAGTCAAACAAGGTGCATTTTAATAGGTCACACATTCATGGAGACTGTATTTTGGAAAGCAGTAACTCAGAAAATCACTTAGGAGTCATGGTGGATAATCAATTGAACATGAGTTCCCAGCTTAATGCTGTGGCTCTGAGGGCTAATGCGATCTTTGGATGTGTAAACAAAGGAAATACTGAGTAAGGAGGAGTTATAATCTCTGTGTACTGTGTTGGTGAGATCATTACTAAAATATAATGTCCAGTTCTGGTGTCCAAAACTCAAAAAGGATCTTGGGAGGGGAAAAAGGATTCAGAATGGAGCTCCAGCTATGATTTGTGGTCTTGAAAACCTGTGCAACATAAAAGGCTGAAGAAGCTCAACCTATTTATCTTTTATCTATTATTTTAAGAGGCAACTTGATCACAGTATCATCAGAAATCTTCCTGTACAGGGAGATGGCTCTGTAATCTAGCAGAAAAAGACAAAACAAGATCCAATAGCTGGAAGCTGATGCTAGACAAATTCAGACTGGAAATAAGGTGCACTTGTTTATCAGTAAGGGGAAACAGTCATTGGAACAACTTACCTAGAGATGTGGTAGAGTCTCTGTCACATGAAGTTTTAAAATCTAGATTGGATGTCTTTTTTTTAAGAGAGATGCCCTAGATCAACCACAAGTTCTCTTTTGAATGCTTGTCCATATTCCTATTTATGGGGCATGTGCACCTGAGTTTGGAGTCTTTTGGCCAGCAGCTGGGCCTGAGCAAGGACCCCTTGCTGGGAGCAAAACCGATGGCACTTTCTGTTTCGCCTGGTGGCAAACAGATCTACCTGGGGAGTTCCCCACCTCTGGAAGATTATGCAGGCCACCTCTGGGTGGAGCAACCACTTGTGGTCAGGGGAGAAGTCCCTGCTGAGGTGATTTGCTAGGGCATTCCTGATAAGACCCCGCAAGTCCATGTGGACCAAGGGGAACGGCCTGCTGGACCACCAGTGGTTGTTGTGGAACCCGTGGTACCAGCCTCTTCCTCGTTGTCACCAAACAAGACCATCACGGAGCCCCCTCACCTAGTTCCTCCAGATGACACTAAGGCACACCAGGAGTTGTTGAAGACGGACGCGCCCAAGCTTGGCCTGCAGGCGGAGACTGCAGGAAGTAGGGAAAGAGCCTAGGAGACACAGAAGGGAGGGGAGAGTTCGTACATCCAAAGAGGGATAGAGAGATAGGGACTGCAGAGCAGGAAGACAGCGAGGCTGAGTATTGGGGCTAGTAGAGGGAAAAGAAAAGGGAGGAGGTCTGGGTTCAGGGAAAGATTCAGGTTCCATATCTTTTTACATAGCCTCAGTCACCTGCTCCTCTCTGGGTTGTCCTCTGAGGCTCAGCAGTTGATTCAGGACCTCCCCTTTGATGGTCAGGCTCTGTTTGCGGAGCAGATGGACAACAAGTTACATGGGCTGAAGGACTCCCGAACCACCCTAAAAACCCTGGGGCTCTACGTTCTGGGCCCGGCACATAAGTGGTTCAAACCGCAACTTCCCCAGGGACAAGAGAGCCGGCCCCGGCAGGACCCACCGTACAAAAAGCCTAAGGGCTACAGATGATGCACGAGTCACCCACCCCCACTCTCTGCCTAGTCAGGCTCAACCCGCTCCAAGCAAGGAGCTAAAAAGTCTTTTTGAGGGTTCGCCCTGGGGCGACCTACCAGTCTGTTTCCTGGATCCTATTTTCCCAATTTTTTGCAACCGCCTTTCCTCCCAGCATAGTCAGCGATAACTTCGGACTGCTGGGTCCTCAGTACAGTGGCACACAGCTACACCCTCCAATTTATTTCCACCCCTCCCCACCCCTCTCCAGGGACCCTTCTCACGAGAATCTTCTTAAGCAGGAGGTTCAGAGGCTCTTACAGCTGGGGGCAGTGGAGGAGGTCCCGCCTCCTTACTGGAACATGGGTTTGTATTCCCTGTATTTTCTGATCTCAAAGGCCACAGGTGGTCTCCGTCCCATCCTGGACCTTCGAGACCTCAACAGATACCTAAGGAAGCTAAAGTTTCGCATGTTCTCCCTGGCCTCCATTATCCCCTCCCTGGATCTGGGAGACTGGTATGCCACCCTCGACCTGAAAGACTCATATGTTCACGTAGCAATCTTCCCAGGACACAGACGCTTTCTCCGTTTTACGGTTGGCTCAGCCCACTACCAGTTTGCGGTCCTTCCATTTGGCCTGGCTACAGCACCAAGGGTGTTCACCAAGTGTATGGTGGTAGTCGCGGCCTACCTGAGGCATCGGGGTATCCAGATTTACACGTACCTCGATGACTGGTTGATCAAAGGCAGCTCCAAGGCTCAGGTCGAACGCAACGTCACTACACTACAAGCCACGTGCTGCTCCTTGGGACTACTGGTCATCCACGAAAAGTCCACGTTAGTTCCAGTTCAAAGGATAGAATTCATCCGGGCCATGCTCGACTCGACCCGGGCAAGAGTGTTCCTGCTGTTAGACAGGTTTCAGGTCCTGACGGACCTCATCGCAGAAGTGTCTGTATTTCCCCTGACAATGGCCAGAGTGTGCCTGTGCCTACGAGGCCACATGGCAGCTTGCACATACATGGTCCGTCATGCCAGGCTCCGCATGCAGCCCTTGCAGCAATGGCTGGCGTCGACCTATTCCCAATCCAGGGGCTACCTGGAAAACATCATAACCATTCCTCCGGTGGTTCTCACCTTGCTGTGGTGGTGGACCGATCTCAAGAAGGTCCTGGAAGGAGTCCCGTTTGACAGTCTGTTGAGCTAATGTCGGATGCTTCGGACCTCAGTTGGGGGGTGCACCTCGGACATCTCTGGACCCAGGGGATGTGGACCCCGGAGGAGACAACGTTACACATAAATGTCAAGTTGCTCAGAGTGGTCCAGCTGGCCTGCGGGGTTTTCCTGCCGCACCTG